AGCCCGAGCCCTGTCCCCAGCCCCAACACGAAACTGGAGAATTCCACTCTCCTGACAGTAGAGCCGTCCCCCCTGGATAAGAACAAGGGCTTCTTCGTGGACGAGTCGGAGCCCCTTCTCCGCTGCGACTCCACGTCCAGCGGCTCGTCCGCACTGAGCAGGAACGGCTCCTTCATTACCAAAGGTAGGGCGTGGGCAGGGTGGGCTCAAGCCCCTCGGAAGGGCCCCTGGGGTTTCTCCCTCGCTGGCCCTCAGCCCCAGTTTGTAGCTGAGTTATCTGAATGACCTCCCTGGAACACCTGTCCTGAACGCCAACCTGAGCTGGTTTGAGAGAAGCCTCGCCTCTGGCCACGGAGGGAACACCTGGAAAAGCAGCTGAGGACAATGGGTCACCCTTTATCGTCCTGGTGCTATCAAAGCCGTTTCAGGGAAGGTCTGATAAAATGTAGTCTGGCAGGTTTTTTTGGAAAATTATTTACTAGGCTTGCTGAATGCAATGATTTAAACTTATCTTGAGAATCAGAAGGGCAGATTTTAGTGACTTGAATTGATCCTAAAATTCACTTTTTTTAAAATTAAATGATAGCTGTGTACATTAATGTAATCATGGGGTACAGTGTGATGTTTTCATATAAATTCACTTTGTTAAACTAGATTGCAAATAATGTTCTAAATGTTGTAGATTGGTATTTTGTGTAAATAATTTGCCACTTTTAATTTTTAATATCAGGGTAGGAAATTAGTGTATATACTGTATTGATAAACAGGTTTCCTTGGCTAGAAATTTCCTAGCTTGGGTAATTCTGGTCCTATGGGCTGAAGGAATTATATTTTATGTTAGTATTATATTTTATATATTTATAAAATGTTCTATTTATACATTTATAGCTTATAGCTTTACTTCTGTATACTAATATTTTATACTTATATTTTAGTTTGTATTTTAATTTACATATATTTTAGGGAAATGTTTAATAATAATAATAAACGTTTGGGTTCCTCCCCCAAACGTAAGCTATGACCCAAGAAGCAATAATAATTGGCTTATTCATGTGGTTTTACTCTCTCAGCAGTTTAGTTTTTTGTTTTTTTTTGAGACAGGGCCTCAAGCTGTCCCCCTGGGCAGAGTGCCGTGGCATTACAGCTCACAGCAACCTCCAACTCCTGGGCTCAAGCGAGTCTCCTGCCTCCACCTCCCAAGT